AGTGGTGGATATAGTAATAGTTACTCTATGACACATTAGTTGTGGATATAGCAATAGTTACTCTATATGACACATTAGTGGTGGATATAGCAATACTTGCTCTATGACACATTAGTGGTGGATATAGCAATAGTTACTCTATGACACATTAGTGGTGGATATAGCAATAGTTACTCTATGACACATTAGTGGTGGATATAGCAATAGTTGATCTAGGACACATTAGTGGTGGATATAGCAATAGTTGCTCTATGACACATAAGTGGTGGATATAGCAATAGTTGATCTAGGACACATTAGTGGTGGATATAGCAATAGTTACTCTATGACACATTAGTGGTGGATATAGCAATAGTTGCTCTATGACACATTAGTTGTGGATATAGCAATAGTTGCTCTATGACACATTAGTGGTGGATATAGCAATACTTGCTCTATGACACATTAGTGGTGGATATAGCAATACTTGCTCTAGGACACATTAGTGGTGGATATAGCAATAGTTGCTCTATGACACATTAGTTGTGGATATAGCAATAGTTACTCTATGACACATTAGTGGTGGATATAGCAATACTTGTTCTAGGACACATTAGTGGTGGATATAGCAATACTTGCTCTAGGACACATTAGTGGTGGATATAGCAATAGTTGATCTAGGACACATTAGTGGTGGATATAGCAATACTTGCTCTAGGACACATTAGTGGTGGATATAGCAATAGTTGCTCTATGACACATTAGTTGTGGATATAGCAATAGTTGATCTAGGACACATTAGTGGTGGATATAGCAATAGTTACTCTATGACACATTAGTTGTGGATATAGCAATAGTTTCTCTATGACACATTAGTGGTGGATATAGCAATAGTTGATCTAGGACACATTAGTGGTGGATATAGCAATACTTGCTCTAGGACACATTAGTGGTGGATATAGCAATAGTTACTCTATGACACATTAGTGGTGGATATAGCAATAGTTACTCTATGACACATTAGTGGTGGATATAGCAATAGTTACTCTATGACACATTAGTGGTGGATATAGCAATAGTTACTCTATGACACATTAGTGGTGGATATAGCAATACTTGTTCTAGGACACATTAGTTGTGGATATAGCAATAGTTGCTCTATGACACATTAGTTGTGGATATAGCAATAGTTACTCTATGACACATTAGTGGTGGATATAGCAATAGTTGATCTAGGACACATTAGTGGTGGATATAGCAATACTTGCTCTAGGACACATTAGTGGTGGATATAGCAATAGTTACTCTATGACACATTAGTGGTGGATATAGCAATAGTTGCTCTATGACACATTAGTGGTGGATATAGCAATAGTTACTCTATGACACATTAGTTGTGGATATAGCAATACTTGCTCTATGACACATTAGTTGTGGATATAGCAATAGTTGCTCTAGGACATATTAGTGGTGGATATAGCAATACTTGCTCTATGACACATTAGTGGTGGATATAGCAATAGTTGCTCTATGACACATTAGTGGTGGATATAGCAATAGTTACTCTATGACACATTAGTTGTGGATATAGCAATAGTTACTCTATGACACATTAGTGGTGGATATAGCAATACTTGCTATAGGACACATTAGTGGTGGATATATTAATAGTTACTCTATGACACATTAGTGGTGGATATAGCAATAGTTACTCTATGACACATTAGTGGTGGATATAGCAATAGTTGATCTAGGACACATTAGTGGTGGATATAGCAATAGTTGCTCTATGACACATTAGTGGTGGATATAGCAATAGTTACTCTATGACACATTAGTTGTGGATATAGCAATAGTTGATCTAGGACACATTAGTGGTGGATATAGCAATACTTGCTCTAGGACACATTAGTGGTGGATATAGCAATAGTTACTCTATGACACATTAGTGGTGGATATAGCAATAGTTACTCTATGACACATTAGTGGTGGATATAGCAATAGTTGATCTAGGACACATTAGTGGTGGATATAGTAATAGTTACTCTATGACACATTAGTGGTGGATATAACAGTAGTTACTCTATGACACATTAGTGGTGGATATAGCAATACTTGCTCTATGACACATTAGTTGTGGATATAGCAATAGTTGCTCTAGGACACATTAGTGGTGGATATAGCAATAGTTACTCTATGACACATTAGTTGTGGATATAGCAATAGTTGCTCTATGACACATTAGTGGTGGATATAACAGTAGTTACTCTATGACACATTAGTGGTGGATATAGCAATACTTGCTCTAGGACACATAAGTGGTGGATATAGCAATAGTTGCTCTATGACACATTAGTGGTGGATATAGCAATAGTTACTCTATGACACATAAGTGGTGGATATAGCAATAGTTACTCTATGACACATTAGTGGTGGATATAGCAATAGTTGCTCTATGACACATTAGTTGTGGATATAGCAATAGTTGATCTATGACACATTAGTGGTGGATATAGCAATACTTGCTCTATGACACATTAGTTGTGGATATAGCAATAGTTGATCTATGACACATTAGTGGTGGATATAGCAATAGTTACTCTATGACGCATTAATGGTGGATATAGCAATAGTTGCTCTGTGACACATTAGTGGTGGATATAGCAATAGTTTCTCTATGACACATTAGTTGTGGATATAGCAATAGTTGATCTAGGACACATTAGTGGTGGATATAGCAATAGTTACTCTATGACACATTAGTGGTGGATATAGCAATAGTTGATCTAGGACACATTAGTGGTGGATATAGCAATAGTTGCTCTAGGACACATTAGTGGTGGATATAGCAATAGTTGATCTAGGACACATTAGTTGTGGATATAGCAATAGTTACTCTATGACACATTAGTGGTGGATATAGCAATAGTTGCTCTATGACACATTAGTTGTGGATATAGCAATAGTTACTCTATGACACATTAGTGGTGGATATAGCAATAGTTACTCTATGACACATTAGTTGTGGATATAGCAATAGTTACTCTATGACACATTAGTGGTGGATATAGCAATAGTTGCTCTAGGACACATTAGTGGTGGATATAGCAATAGTTGCTCTATGACACATTAGTTGTGGATATAGCAATAGTTACTCTATGACACATTAGTGGTGGATATAGCAATAGTTGCTCTATGACACATTAGTTGTGGATATAGCAATAGTTACTCTATGACACATTAGTGGTGGATATAGCAATAGTTACTCTATGACACATTAGTGGTGGATATAGCAATAGTTACTCTATGACACATTAGTGGTGGATATAGCAATAGTTACTCTATGACACATTAGTGGTGGATATAGCAATAGTTGCTCTAGGACACATTAGTGGTGGATATAGCAATAGTTGCTCTATGACACATTAGTTGTGGATATAGCAATAGTTACTCTATGACACATTAGTGGTGGATATAGCAATAGTTGATCTAGGACACATTAGTGGTGGATATAGCAATACTTGCTCTATGACACATTAGTGGTGGATAGAGCAGAAAATACTCCACCACACATTAGCACGCTTCTTCAGTTAGACAGAGTGGTGGATAGAGCAGAAAATAATCCACCACGCATGTTTCTTCAGTCAGAGTGGTGGATAGAGCAGAACATATTCCATGACACTTCAGTATGATTCTTCAGTCAGACAGAGTGGTGAATGGCAAAAATTGCTCTATGACACGTTAGCACGTTTCTTCAGTGAGACAGTGGTGGATATAGCAAGATATACTCTATGGCACGTTAGCATGTTTCTCGGGCCGGACAGAGGTGGCTACAGCAAGATTTACTCTACGACACATAAGCATGTTTCTTGGGCCAGGCAGTGATGGATATAGCAAGATATACTCTATGACACATTAGCATGTTTCTTGGGTCAGACAGTGGTGGACAGTGGTAGATATACTCTATGACACATTAGCGTGTCTTTAGTATGACAGACAGGTGAATAGAACCGTAAATACTCTGTGACACATTAGTATGCTTTCTCAGTGAGACAGAGGTGGATATAGCAAGATATACTCTATGACACATTAGTATGCTTCTTCAGAAATACAGAGGTGGATATAGCAAGATATACTCTATGACACATTAGCATGTTTTTCAGGCCGGACAGAGATGGATATAGCAAGATATACCCTATGACACATTAGTATGCTTCTTGGGCCAGACAGTGGTGGATTTAGCAAGATATTCAGGTGAATAGAACCGTGAATACTCTAGGACACATCAGTATGCTTCTTCAGTGAGACAGTGGTGGATATAGCAAGATATACTCTTTGACTTATTAACGAGTATATCCAGACAGAAACGAGGATATAAGAATGTATCACCAAACTGACAAACTGATGGATATAGAAAGATATACTCTATGATACATTAGCATGTTTCTCGGGCCGGACAGAGGTGGGTATAGAAAGATATACTCTATGACACATTAGCATGTATCTCCAGTCTGACAGACAGGTGAATAGAACCGTAAATACTCTGAGACACATTAGTATGCTTCTTCAGTGAGACAGTGGTAGATATAGCAAGATATACTCTATGACATATTAACGAGTATATCCAGACAGAAACGTGTATATAAGAATGTATCTCCAAACTGACAAACTGATGGATACAGAACGATATACTGTATGACACATAGGTATATTTCTTCAGTCTGACAAGTGATATGGATATATACACAGAGGCAAAAGTTATTGTCACTTTGTTAACCTTGTGAAAGAATTCAACTGAACAAGCGACAGAGTGTGCTACAATGGTCGAAGAAACGCAGCCAAGCAAATTTGCGAGAAGCATGACATATTCGGGAAAATTGCCAGTAATGTTCACTTTAAAAAGACCAAGACAACCAGACGCTTATCATTTCCTCTCAATGCTGTCTTAAGACGTGCGGAAGTAAAAAAACAACTTTAATCATTGTTCTGGAACACGTTGGACATGACACGCCTCGGGGGAAATGACAGATGGAGGGCTAAAGGTATACTTCACTCCAGTACCTCCAGTACCTCCAATACCTCCAGTACCTCCAATACCTCCAGTACCTCCAGTACCTCCAATACCTCCAGTACCTCCAATACCTCCAGTACCTCCAATACCTCCAATACCTCCAGTAACTCCAATACCTCCAGTACCTCCAGTACCTCCAATACCTCCAGAACCCCTATACCTCCAGTACCTCCAATATCTCCAATATCTCCAATACCTCCAGTACCTCCAATACCTCCAGTACCCCCAGTACCTCCAGTACCTCCAATACCTCCAATACCTCCAGTACCTCCAATACCTCCAGTACCTCCAATACCTCCAGTACCTCCAATACCTCCAATACCTCCAATACCTCCAGTACCTCCAATACCTCCAGTACCTCCAATACCTCCAGTACCTCCAGTACCTCCAGTACCTCCAATACCTCCAGTACCTCCAATACCTCCAGTACCTCCAGTACCCTCCAATACCTCCAGTACCTCCAGTACCTCCAATACCTCCAGTACCCCCAATACCTCCAGTACCTCCAGTAACTCCGGTACCTCCAGTACCTCCAGTACCTCCAATACCTCCAGTACCTCCAATACCTCCAGTACCTCCAGTACCTCGCATCGTCACGTCCATAGATACACCATTTGGCACTTATGGCGACTGTTCCAGCAAAACAATCAAGCTATAGTGGCAACCCAACACCAACGACCAATAGTCAAGACTGACAGATTTGATTCACGACCCTCCAGGTTCCTGTCAGCATTCCTTACAGCCCGACACATGCCTGGCAACAGAGGTGGCTCTGCGAGAACCGTTCGACGACGTCCACGCGTCATCCATGCAAGACAGAACTCCAGTTACACCAGATCAATTTCGGAGGGAAGATGAAAGTGACGTCGGCCTCCGATATTGACCACTTTGATGGAGACCACGATCAATTTGTGAGGAAAGCAAAAAGTGACGTCGGTGTCCGACGTTTACCACTTTGATGGAGACCACGATCAATTTGTGAGGAAAGCAAAAAGTGACGTCGGTGTCCAACGTTTACCACTTTGATGGAGACCACAATCAATTTGTGAGGAAAGCAAAAAGTGACGTCGGTGTCCGACGTTTACCACTTTGATGGAGACCACGATCAATTTGTGAGGAAAGCAAAAAGTGACGTCGGTGTCCAACGTTTACCACTTTGATGGAGACCACGATCAATTTGTGAGGAAAGCAAAAAGTGACGTCGGTGTCCAACGTTTACCACTTTGATGGAGACCACGATCAATGTCATTTAAGAAAGTAGTCAAATGTAACATATGTTATATTTGGGATTACACTTTCTCAGTACAGTACAGATTCACGTGTGCCGGTGTGAAAGCCGCCGGTGGCTGATTGGGTTAGGAGGCAGTCTTTGTGTCCTGGCGATTAGGTGCCTGACTCTTTGGTTTTGGGTTCGAATCCTGCATGGGACTCAACCCAACAAAAGTACTGTGGTTCTGTACTTTCCTGAGAAAGTGTAATCCCAGATATACCGTGGGTCTCTGACGTTTACCCTGGATATAGCGCTGACTAAACTACAGACAAAACAGGGCCACACAGGGACTCGAACTCACAAAACCAGACCACTGAATGGAGAATCATGGCGCCTGAGACAGATGAGCCACCCATGACCCAAAATTGACCACGCAGCGATTGGTCAACTAAGTGTTTGATCGACATTCTAGAAGTTAGTGAGTCAATAATGAAGCATACGACTTCATGGATAATATGTTTTGGTGTATTGCATATAGCAACGTTTTGGTGTCGATTCTTACACCCAAGCTATCTACACCGATACGGCGCTCTATGCATTAAACAAGAAGTTCTTATCCATTAAGTCGTATGCCTCATTATTCGAGGGTCAATTTCTCAGGTAAAATGGAAGATGGATGCCTAGCGAAGAGTTAATCTCCAAATAAGATGTGCAATTATGATGGCTTTTCATTAATACTCGTCATCATCACGATTTTATGATTCATAACAGATACTCACGACACAATCAGAATCTTTACATGGGCGGTGGCATAACCTAGTTAAAGCGTTCGCTGATCAGCCGAAGACCCGGGTTCGTTTCCATCATTGGTACAATGTGTGAAGCCCATTTCTGGTGTCTCCCGTATCGATATTGCTGGAATACTGCTGGAATATTGCTAAAAGTATCGTAAAACCATGTCACTCACGAAATCTTACAATGGGTTCTGCTTTCATCAGAAATTTCTGTTGATCATGGAAATATTTTGTTCTCTTTAACAGTTTTCAATTTCCAAAATGGTAATAAATGCCTCCCACCCACTCAGTGAGGTATTCTTGGGTTGACATCCGTCGAGACACCCAGGGAGTGAGACGTCATGGTTGATGGTCAAGGACAATACACACGCGCACCTGCTGAAATGTGGCCAATGACGTAACTCATCTGTTAGACATCTTCCGCCATCGCAGCTTCCCATGTCAAGCTTATTGCGTGTGATTAATGCACATAATAGACTATCTATGAAAGGAGAGAATAATTCATTTCAATAGCCCAGACATTTAACATAAAGGCCTGTTTGTACTTTTACCAGCTCATTTCGCTCATGTCTTTTTCTCATTTGTGTCAATTTCAACTCTCTGTACTGTAAGGTTCAAGAAAACTATTGGTCCCATTTTTCTTGTTGATCATTTTGGAATTCCAATTTTCAGTTAAATGTTTATACTTTTGCAGAATACCCATGCTTAAAATTTATTGTGTGTTCCTTAAACTCTCCACATCGTAAGGCTGATGAAATCCATTTTTGAACTAACTAAAGAATGAGTCGAGCGGTGACGCAAACATTAAAGCTGTCCAGAAAATAGGACCAGCATACATTCATTCCTACTTAATTCAAGAAATGATAGGTGTTTGGTCTATTTCAGGCAATATTTACGTTCAATCTTTCAAAGCTCAGCAGTAAGATGAAAAAGATCAATGTAACACGTAATGTTACAGGTGTATCTGTCTGAGGCCTGTTACCGTGTGTGACATGAAGAAGTGCGTGTTTAATGTTTGCACTGCAGTGCTAGTGCGTGCGTTCTCAATATCTTTTATCCTAAACAAACACACGCCGCCTCCTAACTTTCTAGAGACCTTATGAAGGCCTTCCTTAATCATTACGTGTGCATGTTTGTATTTACATAGAATGGTTAACTCATCTTTAAATCAGTTTCCACAACATTAGCAACAGTTCTGAGAAGCGTACACCAAGAAGTTTCCATTCGCCCCAAACACATTGTATAATGATATCTCGATAAAAAAACATCTTCATAATTCAAGGCTTCAGCTGCGTTAGAAAAACTTGATGACCCAACAAAACAAAGACCTTGACCTTCACATGTCAACTTGACCCGGACAATTAACCAGAATGTCAAGAGAGTGAATTCATTACGTCTGTGGACGCCTTCGTGAAACCAGCTGCTGGCTCCATGCAACCTGGGAGTGTCTCAATCACTTGACTAGCATAAAGAAATGAATATTTAAACATTCATGGATACGGTTAGGTACTTCCCATTATGTTTTGTTTGACATAAAAAAATTAGATTGACGACTTAGGTGCTGCACGTCGCATTAATAAAGTGCACAGGTGTAGCCATTTGAAGTGGCTTAACGTACCCCATTACCATCCAAGCATAAACGTTCTACCGCCTCGCTGCTCAGGTTAGACTGACGTTTACACAATGCCTTCAATTCGAAAGCTGCTTAAAGCAGCACAAAAAGGCCTTGTTTCTATATGGTTTATTACAAAATGAATAACTTCGTATCTCGATTTTTTTATTCATTAGTATCCATGTTCTGATTCATAATTGCATTTATTTAATTACCCATTGTACTTTGATATTAATCTATATTGGAGTGAGGGATGGATTTATGAACGTATGTCTGTAACAATGGAACGACTTTCAGAACACATATGTAGGTTAAATGCTTTGTTAATTAATATTATAAATATCACCGTGTAAATTGATATTATAAATATTCTATCATCGTGTTGGTTGATCAGTATCATCAACATAAAAATATATCGAACTGTAACAAAATACAAATGTTTAGCAAAACATGGGTATGTTTACAGTAAATACGTTTATAACGAACAGACGGATATGACAAACTATTTTGGTCTGTTTTAGCTGAAATGCTTATAACGAAACACGGATAACCAACTAAAAAGTGGTCCCTTTGCTGTATTTGCTGTATGTGCTGTGTTAGGAATGAACAGTACTTTATGCATCACTGCGATGTGAAGTGAGAGGAAAGTCTGAAGTGATGCACTCTATCGTGGCATCCTGACACAACCAAGGGTCGCAACTCTTTAGAGTGATTTGCGGCGCCGTTAGTCACAAAAATACTGACCACACGTAACTTGACCTCGCGATGTTATTTTCTCCAAACCTACATCTATGCATTCTGTGCGCTAAAAAATAATTGTGCTATGGAGTATATGGATTTCCGTTATTGGTTTGGTCTGATTTGATCTGGGAGAAGGGGTAGCCTAGTGATTAAAGCGTTCAGTCGTCACGCTGAAGACTCGGGTTCGATTCCCCACATGGGTACAATGTGTGATGCCCATTTCTGGGGCAGCCCCGCCGTGATATTGCTGGAATATTGCTTAAAGCGGCGTGAATAAACTCACTCACTCTAAGTTGATCATAAACACTCGTCTTATGTCCGAAGTACTGATGTACACAGGCCCTCGTTTCCTTGCGAGGATTAATGATTAAAAAATATTGTTTTTGAGATGACCCCCGACTCGAAATGCTTCACAGTACAATACATCATGGCTAATGTATTATGCTGTGAAGCATTTCGAGTCGGGGGTCATCTCAAATTTTTGCATATATTTTATAAAATCTTTAATCCTCGCAAAGACACGAGGGCCTGTGCTGACGTACGGTGCCCGGTAACAAACGAATGTTAAATTAACTCCTTTAACAAAAACTGTGTGAACACCGGGTGCTACCGGCAGCGCAGGGCGTCCTTATATTTTGCGCGAACACCTGGTGTCACCAACAACTTTCGGTGCTCTATTCGTATCATTTTCTTCCCTAGTTTGCCTTTTTCGCATTTTGGAATCTGTTTGGGCGTTGACATTCTATATTTTTAAACAGTTTGGAGTGCAACAAGAAAAGATTCTAATAGAGGAAAGTGTTCATACTCAGTGTTTGTTTGTTGTTGCCTAACAAGAAAAGATTCTAATAACCGGAAAGTGTTCATACTCAGTGTTTGTTTGTTGGTGCTTAACGCCGCAGTTTTCCAGCGATGTCGCGTCTGTCTGTAAATAACCGACAATCCAGTGATCAACACCATGAACATCGATCTACGCAATAGGGATATGATGACATGTGTCAAGCAAGTCAACGAGCCTGACCACCCGATTACCAGATGCCTCCTACAAAGCATGGGTTGCTGAAGACCAATTCTTCACACGTTCATACGCAGATTCGGGGATGAAAACCACGTCAACAACGTTTTAAACTTTATTCTAGCACGACATTGTGTGATTCTCGATTCTGATTGGCTGAGACCTCATCAAAACCGTACTTAAAATGGCAGTTTAAGACCGCTAATTAAATAGACCGATTCACCGCGTATGAATACAACGAACTCGTTGACCCTATATTGTTTGTAAACAAACATGTCGGACATCGGCA